TTTAAGCTCTTAATACTATATGTTATAGGGCCGTAAAACTTGGTTTTAGACTTAATAAACCTGGGTTTTAAGAGCTTAAAACCAGGTTTTTAAGAGCATCTTAAAACCAGGTTTTAGACCCTTAAAACCTGGGTTTTTAGACCTTAAACACTGCGTTTTAGGAGCTTAAAACCAGGTATTTAAGAGCCCTTTAAAACTAGTTTTTACGCCTTATGCAATGAAAGGCATTATGTTACCAACAAAGCATAAACCTATTTTTATAGAACCTTAAAACCGGGTTTTAAGAGCTTAAAACCGGGTTTTAGACCCTAAAACCTGGTTTTAGACCTTAAAACCTGGTTTTAAGAGCTTAAAACCAGGTTTTAAGAGCTTAAAACCAGGTTTTAAGAGCTTAAAACCAGGTTTTAAGAGCTTAAAACTAGGTTTTACGCTTCCGAGTGGCATTTAGTCCTTTGATTGGCTACGTTTTGCTAAGGCTTAGTTTCTGCGGGACTGCCGGATACATGATCACCTTGGCGCGGCGAAACGAACGAGAGGGGAGAAGCATGGTGAGAGAAGGAGGAGGGGGAGAAGGCTGAGTGGAGAATGGGAAGGGAGAAGGAGGAGCGAGAAGGGAGCTGGTGGAGGAGGAGGGGGAGAAGGGAGAAAGTTTGGTCGAGAAGGAGGGTCGGGAGAAGGGGATCGAGAATGGAGTGGAGGAGGAGGTGGGAGAACGCTGCGTGGAGAGGAGGAGGGGGAGGTGGGAAGCTCGCGTGAGAAGGAGGAGGTGGATGAGAAAGGCTGGTGGAGCAAGAGGAAGGGGTTTTTGTGGAGAAGGGGAGGGGGAGAAGCTGGCTGGAGGAAGAGGAAGGAAAAAGAAGGAGAAGGTGGCGGAGAGGAGGAGTGGAGAGAAGTGGTAGAGAAGAAGTGAAGGGGCAGAAAGGGAGAATCGGTGGCGGAGAAGGAGGGGGAGAAGCTGGGGGAGAAGGCAGGGGAAGGGAGGAGAGGGAAGGGAGAAGGGGGGTGGAGGAGAAGGTAGAGAAACTTGGTGGAGGAGGAAGGAGTGTAGAAGGGAAAAGGTGGTGGAGAAGGGAGGGAGGGAGAGAAAGAGCCTGGTGTGAGAAGGAGGAGGGCAGAAGAAATGAAGAAGCTGGTGGAGGAAGGAGGAGGGAAGAGAAGGGAGAAGGTGCGTCGGCGAGAAGGAGGGGGAGAAGCTGGTGGAGAGAGGAGAGGGGAGAAGGCTCGGCTGCGAGAAGAAGGAGGGGGAGAAGCTGGGTGGAGAGAAGGAGGAGGGGAGAAGGCTTCGGTGGGAAAGATAAAACTAGGTTTTATGCTTTTTGGTACAAAATGCTTTCCATAAGAGTACGTGGACAGACGCGTGGACGGACACACTCAACTTTACCCGTAGGCGCTCGAAGTGAGCCAATACTTCTTCTTCATGTAGATGTATATCACACATACGTAATATATACCGAGGGATTCGTATCCCAAACACCACACGCGTATATTACCTTTATTAGGTTCGATTTACAATAAAAACTAAGGTTTTAATAGGCCATCTCTTACCAACAGACCCCATAAAGCCGCTAATAAAGAAGCTTCTGACACGCTTCGTAAACGTATATACATTGCAGTATATTCCCACAAGACTGTGTCCGAAAATCCCTGAAGCTGAGCCCACCGTAAGGTTGTTTCTCAACGACCTACGGAGTCCATGCATCCCTACACAGATTGCACGTTCGAACGCGTTCACCTACGGCCTCAACGATCATTGTAGCAGTAATAGGTTCCGTAATATATCAGAGAGTCGGAGGAGCGGCACGGCAGTGAGAATTATCACGACATCGTTTCCCTGCCGACGACCACGAGCTGGTAAGCGACGGCACATGTCAGGAAGCGGCGCGCACCACAATAGTTACTGTAGACGGCCAGGGTTACTGACACTGTAAACTCGCTTGCGCCAACAATGGGCCACACCGTTGCCAACCGCTCTATTAATAAAGCATACAGAGCACACGTCGACGACAATTATGTCGCTGTTAGCTATAGCTGTTGGTTTCGATCCTGTACCTCGACGACGCGTCCACAGGTTTGGGTGGCTAACAGTGGTTGTTGCCACGTCGGTTGTTGATAACTGTGTGTGTTTAAACAAGTGAAGCAGCTATATAACGTGAGAACTAAATTTGTTTTGTTCGCACGAGTGGCATTTTCATATTTACTGTTTTTTTTTTACATCGCGTTGATGATAACTTGGATAGTTACAAATAAATAGTCCAATGACCTATCATCGTTGATATATTTTAGACGCACACACACGCACACTAGTTACTAAAACGTGTCCCTGTATTTTCAGATATACTTTTACAAGACGACCCTCGTAACACTATCACAAGTTGAGTTGTTGTTTAACCGTTGTTTAACATTGTTTTACATTGTTTATTATCTATTATCGACACTGTCACATAAATGACAGCAAGTATGTGGAGAAAATGTTTCTTGGTGTCTGTGTGTTCTTCCGAATCAATCTACAGCAGGATTCAGTACAATTATTAATTTTAAATGAAGTCGCATTGTCGAGAACAAGAGAAAGTGCTTTGGTAAACCTTTTTCTAATTAGCAAATTACAGCTCCACCTCACCCACTTCAATGTAAAAATCCAATATACGGTTTTCTACACGCAATTAAGTAGATTGGTTTCTCTGCTTCAATTGCCATTAAAACTGATGCTTTAGTTTCTCCTACGAAAACTCCTCTACTACTCTTCTTCTACACGGTGTGACATAGGATGCAATAGAGCTGCATAATCCAGTAATCGTGTGAAGGGTTGCCCTCCCACACAAACAAACTAGCAAGTAGCAGCAAATATTCGGACGTGCACACGTATTGGCTTCAGCAGAGGCAGACTATGAATTTAGTTGACCTCATGAATCGGAGATCGTGTATGGGAAAGTGAGAGCACAGGGGAGTGGGTTCTTTAAATTCAAGTTAATTGGTTCCAGCAATTTCAGAGTGGATGCTGCGGAGATCACACGGCACAGACACACGCACGCACGTAAACGCGCACATGCACGCACACTCACAGACAGACAGACAGCCAGACTCACGCATACATCCACGCACACACACACGCACGCACGCACGCACGCACGCACGCACGCACGCACGCACGCACACACACACACACACACGAGTGTTGGATTCACGTCATTGCATTTGTGATACATTGTATCAAGAGCGAACGCAACACATTCTATAGTTGATGATAAATAGGTCATTTATTTGTGGGATTTTACACTGAACTAAGATGCTCCTTTAACAAGGACACGTACACGTGCGTGTAATGCCGATGCGATGTAAATACAGGTCTGTGGCCATGTGGCTTGAGCGTGTGTATCACTAGCTGGCACATCCTGCTATTGGTGTCAGCCGGCTAGGCGGCCGTCAACTCTACCGACAGTGTTATTCTGGGGATTTCCCCAACACTGATGGACCGGAAGTGATAGATCCTCCTGTGCATGCATCACTGTAGTAGAGCTAGTAATGCCAGACATTCTACACTAGTCACGTTGTACTTGCCAATAACACGTGATAGATTGATTCGTGATGCTACGCACCCTACTCGTATTAGAAAACATTACGGGGAGTTAACATATTAATAATGATATTGGAGATACTATACTATACTTTTACACAGCAAATACTATACTATACTTTTACACAGCAAATACTATAGTATCACTGTGAGTACTATAGTATTGCATTGTATTTTTCATATTGCATAGTATTGTATAATTTGGTGATGCTATTAGTACCAAATGGTCTTGCAGCAGACCCAACTCAGCACACACGTACGCTCATGTACACACAATTTCAATATGCACAACGCACGAGATTATGTGGAAGATAAAAAATGGATATAACTGCTATCCAAGTTCGGTAATACCAGGTAATACTAATAGGCTAAACGTGCTAAAGTAATATAAAGAAATCAAAATAATATAAACTTTAAACTTATACGTACCAGTATAATCAAGTTTTCCAATAAGTGCGCACGGCTTGATATTTCCAGCAACCTGGCATTTGTAGCAGGTTTCATGAGAAACAGTCGCTTATTTACTGAACACCTGATTCAGCGTGTGTGTGTGTGTGTGTGTGTGTGTGTGTGTGTGTGTGTGTGTGTGTGTGTGTGTGTGTGTGTGTGTGTGTTGTGTGTGTGTGTGTGTGTGTGTGTGTGTGTGCGTGTATGCGTGCGTGCGTGTGTGTGTGCGTGCGTGCGTGCGTGCGCGTGTGTGTGCACCTAGCTCCATTCGACTGTATAGACGCTTTTGCGAATTTGGGCTCTTTACGGTCTGCTAGTATAGATTAGGGTACTATACTAGAATATTCCTAAATCCGTGAAAACGCCCACGGATGCACGCATTCAAACCAGAATGATTTAGCGGGGGAAATTTGGAGAAAAACACCTGTATTCGTCACTGGTACTGGTAGAGCATTGCTAGTCCAGCTCTATGCCTGAATCAGCCTTGACTGAGAAAGGCAACCCCATTGATTCGTAATTACTACAGAAGATAAAAATGTGAACATGGAAAGCTGTTTCCAGCCGGCACCCGGTGGGTTTGTAGGTGGACAAATATAGTAACTGTGTAATAAGGGCACGATTCACGAACTAATTGGCTGGATATTGAGGTCGTTACGACGTTTATAGCCGTTCAAACATACAAACACAAACATCGTTTCGGTTTATGATATATCCAGCGCACAATCAATTTATCGAAGTGTAGATAATTAATCTAGAATATTAAACCAAAAGCTACGCTAGAAGTTAATAATTATATATGCATAGCCTTTATCAAAAATGCATCATTAACATCCTGATGTAAATATATCACTATACCTATATAATGATTAATACCTGTACGTAAATATAATTAACATATAATGTTATATGTATGCGTTATTTGTCATGTAACTACCAAAATGGGTTTTTTGTAATGCTACTCGTACTCTGTACTATACATTACCGGGTATCGATCGGCGTTATCAGCTAGCATTGCGGAGTCGCTATCCCATGTCGCGTCGCCACCATGAACTTGGCAGAGGTCACACTCAGTGTAAAGCTAAACGTGTGAACTCTTTACTGGATGAACCTCTCCTGAAGTGAGTGAATGTATGTGGAAGGACGAAATGTCAGCGCTTCCTTGAAGTGTCTCCTGCCAGTTCGCCTCCTGCCTTCAGATACCGTGGGAAATAACGTCTTCCACTGCCAATGATTTTTCTCTGGCGAGTACAACCTCACCCAAGCACCAATTCACAGTTTAGCATGTCTTTTGTTGTGCCATCAGCACTGATGCAAGGCAAGAATACAGAACGCGAGACATTCTGTATTGACAACAGCTTTCGCCGCTACACTGACCATGTGCGCTGAGCTGCGTGTGTGTATGGGCGTTAACGTGGGCATGAATCGTCAACCAATCAAAATGCAGGAGCAACTCATTCTGCGGAACACGGGGGTGCGGGGGGAAAAGGGCATCGCCATGTACACCATCATGAATATACGTATACGTACGTATGTCGTATGTCATCGGTCTTCTTTCGGTAACCAAATACGTCTCGTTCTATCACACCTGACGCGTGCGTACGTGCGTGCGTGCGTGCGTACGTGCATGCGCGCATTCGTGGTTATTTGCATGCGTTCGTGCGCCCGGGGTGGTGTTGGCATGGAAGGTTGGAGCGTCAAGGTACGGCCGCGTGTGTTTGCGCGTTTACAGATAATTAATATCGTAAACGAATATACATGTGTAATATAATAATAACTGATAATTCATGGTGAGTTTTGTTAGTACTCGTATGAAAACTGTCCAAAAAAATTGCGGCAAGCCCACAATAACAATGAGTGGGAGCTCATTATATTTTTGACAATTAGGCTCGCTAGAAAAAAACAGCAGTTTTTAACTAGGCTATCAAATATCAGTTCTCGACGTTGCCCAATTAATTATCACTGACTAATATAGTAAAATAAGATGGTGACTAGTCTATACATTGAAACACTAGCGTATTAATGCAAAATTGCACAATGAGCATCACAAAGTCTACCCGAAAAAAAAACATCTGCCCATTTTGTTAAACACTGAGCAGCCATTGGGGCGGATAATTTATCACAATAATAATCTTACGTTGCAAGATATAATTGCAACCAGTCTTTTGTCTGCCCGTCTCAAATTAATTCAAGTTATAATCATTAATTCAAACAAGGATTTAACCTCGGTTGACACATAAAGGCGTGTTCATCTCCACCCAGCAACCCACCCATCCCCACCATCGGGTGCGTGCAGCAACCCTCCTGTGTGCATCCATTCCAAGCCGCAGTATTTCCCGTTAGCCTTACAAGCCATAATCCGCCTGCGCCTAAATCGTTTGTGAAGCGGAGGCAGATGTTTTTCCCCGTTAGAAGAAAGCGGGTACGTAATCGGTAGATGGCGGACGGTAGGCAGGCACGGGCTATCGCCTTATTATCTCTTCCACACTACCATGTACAGACGAAGCGGGAGTCTGAATCATGCAACCCTTCGCGGCTTCATTCTACACGATAAAAGTTATATACATACACAAACTTATGGTTAGTTTGTTCGTTAGATGGAGATTATATAAACTAAGACTACGTTTCAACTATTGGATCAACTTAGATGCCAAGGCGTTGGACGTGACGCCAACATACACGTTCATCACACAGACTACACGCATACGCGTGCGTGCATCATACGCACACACACGCACACATAGGCACAGATACAAACGCACGCGCGCACACACACACACACACACAACACTACACACCACATATATATATATGATATATATATTGATATATATCTTGATATATATGTATATATAATATACGTGCGCTATTTCAGTGCGCGTGTGTGTGTGTATGTGACCTTATAAATGAACTCTAATATTGTACAACGAGTCTAATAATTGTAAGGCGTTTTGTACACGCGTGCGTGCAGGTTCGCCGCGCTCGCGCAGGCGTGTACCTGCATGAGTTATCATCGTGGGACAGGTCCCCCGCTTCTGGTCGGCTAGCTGGATATAGCGACCTTTCAAACGCATTGATGCTGATAGAAGGCTATCGACCAGCCAGGTCCGGAACAGACAGCTGATCCGTTCTGTCGTAACGTAGCGGCGCATTACGTAACAGCGTCGAGGAAACGACTTCGGCACTAACAGCGCCCCCTCCCGCGCCCAGACAGACCCGATAATGAAGCGTGGTGAGTAAACTACTAGTATGCAGAATCTCGCAGCTGACAAAGGCACAGGGGACCATCGCAACAGCCTAATTGCACGCATAGCTTCATCCAGGGATCCAAGATAATTAGCTCGCCGGTGGGTTTAATTAAAATTGAGATACAAATCTGATATGCAGCTGCCGCTCACATATTCAGCTTCACAAACCAGCTCCGATGATTTCCTACGCGTGTATAAGCATTATTATACATAATCTGATATAGTTATACCTATAGAGAAATTCAAACATCTCGGAAATTATATTTTGAATTAATGCATGACTAGGTAACAAACGCGCTAGCGTAGGGCAATGTATCTAGGCAGACATTGAAACTTTTATTATAGGGACATCATTTATCTCCGCAAAATATCTTATGACATTGAAAATGTACGTTGTTCAGCGATTACTTTAACTGGAATAAAACCAACATTGATTAAAGCACGAGTTTTTGCTAATTTCTAGAACCGAAAAGCTCGTATTTTTAATATATCGCCTGACACCCTTGTGCGAGATATATAATCAAGTAGTCCCGACTACGAGAAAAACGTTTAGTACGGTCACGTCTAGTACTTGGTTAATTGATTGTTTTGCGCGCATTCAATTTACATAAAGCACCTATAGAGAGCTCGTTAGCCCCGTCAGACCAACTCATACAAGTGTTGGGATTTGCCGCATGTGCCAGACACCTGACCGCTTACTTAACCAGCAGCCCAAACAGCTAGTCTATTAGCAAAACGGCTTGCTTGTTTCGCCAACATTGTACACACTTGTGAACTAGATACATACGCATCTATATTCTCTGTGTTTCATCGCCACCACCACGGCGTACAGCTGCCCACACTTATGCAAAGCGCAATAATGACGTTCGTATACCAGTAGGGGAGGTGGCGGTTGTTAACAGTGTGGACATTCTGCCTATTGTTACGGGCCAGGGTCCGAGCTACCCGCTAACTCCTAACAGACGAGAGGCGAACAAAGCCGGAGCAGGCGATCCCGTGCGTGTCGGACTCTCGTGCGCCTGTCCCGCCATACACGGTCGTCATTACCAGCCGCCCGCAAACTGCGCTCGCCGCCAGAACAAAGCTGGACAATTTGTGGTCAAACAGAGGCAGCCGGCTCTACTCTCACTGAATTTGGTCAACACGGGCCCGACGCGCACGGCTACCCTGGGCGTCGTCGCGTCGACGTTCTTTCCGACGCCGCAGAAAGAACGGCCGACAACACAGGGTGACAGGCGCGACGACGACGCCAACGTCGCCTACTTGCGTTCCGGCTGATTCATCATCATCATCGTCGTCGTCGTTGTCGTTGTCGTTGTAGTAGATGCCGCGTCGTCGTGCATGCGTGTGACTCACGCATGGTAATGAATCTCACATTGTGTTCCTAAGGATCATAGCCAGGCAGTTTAGTTAGTCACGTCGCCGGCCTGGCTGCCGGCCAGCAATCATGTGGCAATCACAGTATATAGGGCCGCCTGCTGTTTGGTTCACATTTGTCACCTACTGCAGTCGCCGGCATACACATACACCAGCGGCTTTCAGGGAATCCAGAAGGGATTCCATTCGCGTGATTACGAAGGAATTAATGCGCTTCTAACACGGATTCGCGCGGCTTAACAGTCAGGCGCATATTAAAAATATAATTAATGCTGAATCGCTGTTGCGTCGATTGCATCCTGCTATGCACCAGCACGTATACGCATTCACATGACGCTAATCTACGCTGAATTACGTAATGAAAAGTAAACGGTGCGTGCATATAAATGTGAGCGCAAGTTTAATATAAATTTACAGTACATGATACAATTTTGTTCGCCGTGAAGTCAGCTCAGCTAGAGTTTCGGTGACATGCGTGAGGCGCACGCATCTACGCGTGCTTCATAATTACTATGGTACATGGCTGAGGATCACAAAGAAACGAATGCGGAAAATATACATGCCTTTCCTGACGTGCGAGTGACGTTACGACATTTTTGTGAGACTTTAGCAAAACGCCAGTTAATAAGGTCATGCGCTCACATACGCGCGCGCCTAAATAGCGCACGTATATATATATATATATATATATATATAGTAGTGTGTGTGTGTGTGTTGTTGTGTGTGTGTGTGTGTGTCGTGTGTGGTGTGTCGTGTGTGTGTGTCGTGTGTGTGTGTCGTGTCGTGTGTGTCGTGGTCGTCGTGTCGTCGTCGCGTCGTCGAGTGGTCGGTCGGTCGGTCGT